AGTGACCCATGACGACTCATCCATGCTCCCGGTTTCTTAACTGTGGTAGTATCGTAGCTGAGCCGAAAGAGACACTAAATATGCATAAATGTTATACAATATATGTGTTTTAGCACTAAAAACACATAATTTTTTTTCCATGACAGGAGCTGCCAGGTGCTCGATTCATCTTCTGACGGAGCTGACGGAGCTGCCAGGTGCCACCGACGAAGATGATTTATAAGACATGACAAGATCAGCACGCCCTGACGGAGCTGTCAGGTGCTCGATTCATCTTCGGCCTCGGGTCTGGAATCGTCCTCCCCGTCGCGTCGGAACACGCTGCCGGTCCGGAACCGCTCTGTAATTTGCCAAAAAAATATATTTTTTTATGATATGTGATCTATGATTTATAGATATGTGATTTTGTGATTGTCTGAATATAAAAGAAGACTAGAGATAGAAGAAAGATGGAGGCTATTGGATCTTAATCTTAAGAGTGTAAAAAAAATCATATGTTAAAATTACATAAAATATATGATTGTGCACTAGACAGAGTAAATATGTGGATCCTCCCTTCCTAGCTAGTTTATTTTTACAGCCGTTTGCTCCAGCTACAATACACTACAGTAACGAATAGTGCTGCACGGTACATACTTTATAAGGCAGAGCCGGAGCACCTCGGAGGAGCACCAAACGGGCCCTAAGTAGTTCTTGCATTGCAACACCGTTAACCCTGCGATGCATGTAATAGGACAACAGTCGAATCACCACCCCGATCCTGACTCAGCACTAGCAGGTTTTTGGGCGTTCTTTTCCTATCTTTTGACAAGTACGTACAGATCGTCACCCCGTCCGTTTGGGCTTGTTTGACTTATAAGCCATATTTTTTTAGCCATTGAACAGTATTTTTCTCTCACACCAAATTAACCAACAATACTTTAAACCATGACTTATCAACCAAACAAGCTCAAGCGAACAAGGTGTAGCTGCTGGGTAGGGTAGGGTAGGGAAGACCATAATATCACGCAACTGGTGTGTACGCATTTGCAGGGTGACCATATATATGCAATATGACGTTCGTTTCTCTTATAATTCGTATTTTTCAGCTTGTTTTTTCAGCTGTAATAGTGTTTTTCTCTTACAACAAATCAGTGAAACAGTGTTTTGACTTTTTTTTTCAGTGAAGCGAACGGGGCCATAATCATGTCTATCTGTACGTTGACTAATAGATCAAACGTTTTCCTAAGCATATATCGCACTATTGCTCCATCATGCATATAATTATATATGTCGATCTTCAAATAAAGCTAAAGCTAGCTAAGAAATGACTAAAACGAGCTAGTATTTGTTGATATGTTTATTCTACATATGTAAATTATCCAATGTAAGGAACCTACTACACTTCAGTACGTAGTAGGTGTGGGACATATATATCCATCTTGTGAAAAAATTCCTACAATATATCGGACCACCATGACCCTAAGTGAAACCAGTGTTATATGTAAAAAAAGTCCTAGCTACCAATATGGGGACACGAGAGGAGTGATGATATGAATAAGAAATAGCCGATCTACTCACCTCATTTCTAAATTATATATGCCATTTTAGCTATGTTCTAAGTTAAATTTCTCTAACTTTGACCATGTTTTAGAACATATATTCATGCATTATGAAGACATATTTCAGGGAAAATTTAGTAAAGCTAATTTGAAGTTATATATGTTGGTATATTTTTCCATAAATTTGGTCAAGTTGGAGAAATTTGACTTAGGATGAAGCTATAATGACCTAGTATATTGTTTTAATTGTTGCCTCGGAGTTTTAGTAGTTTGGGGATGGATCCTTGATTTTTATCATTGGACCCACTCCTTTGTCTTAGGACTAAGATTTTCTTATCACGTTAGACATCCTAAGTGAGGGGCAGAGCTTAATTGGGGCCAAAGGTAGCCATGGCCCCTTGCTATTAGAAAGCTTCTTTACTATGTATGGAATGAGTTTTGAGCTTCATCTCTTAGCTTGGCCCCCTCTTTTTTATTCTTCTTTTTTATATATAGAAATTTGAGCATAGGACAAGCAAGTCCGCTCTCACCTTCTTCAATGGGACTCCACAATTCTGCTTAGAGTGTACATAACCGCTCAAAATTATTAGAACATATTCTATAACATATCCATAAATGCTAAGTACTCCCTCCGTCCTATAATATAGTGCATTATAGAAATTTTAAGACAAATCAAAAGAGAACATAAAAGAGTATGTGTCCTTATTTTATTTCCTAATCAGATGCTTCATCCACGTGATTAATGGTGTGATTGATTGATAAATGAAAAAATATTTAATGCAAAACTTGTTTTTGTCCCTAGAATCTCTTATATTTGATGACAAATTTTAAATGTTAGCATGCACTATATTACAGTACGGAGGGAGTACGTAACATATCACACCTCTTGACAGGTCCACTATATTCTGAATTATGTATGTGTCAATATTTGAAGAGGTTATTAGTTGATAAGAATTAATTTTAAGTCGGCGTTGGGGTCATGCATGCATGAATAAATATTTAGATATTAACTTGAGCTTCCCCCTCCTATATGCATTAGCATCCAGAAAAAACTCCCATTCACATACATGCATGAAGTTGAATTGACCATACACTCTTGATGTAACTCCTCGTATGTAATTAAAAAAAGGCTCCCACTGCTCTGATAATGATTTATCTCAGAGTACAAATATCATCTCATCATGCATTTGGCTCGTTTGAGCGCGCTCATGGAGCGAGGTGATATATGGACAGGGATGAGCAAGACAATGTATAAAACTATAAACTAATAATGGTTTTGTTTCTTCTAGGAGCATTCTGTGATCAGAACAAAATTACGAAAGAAATAAAAGACACGAGTACTATATTGTTTTGCGACCAAGCTACTTTACTTACATATATCTATCTCTGTACATAGTGTACACCAACGCGTCTCACGTATGCACACGTGACGACACAGGGTACGTACGAATGTAGTAGTAGTAACTAAATTAATGTCCCAAAGAGGCATGCCGCACTACGTACCTCAGTATTTCATGATCTCTTCCAAAGTACATATATATGAGACGCTGAATGGCTGCCTAGTACTATATAATGTTACACACAGTGTAAGAGATAATATATATACTTGAAAGTCAGTAACTCAACTTGATCTGGATTACCGGCCCGTTTGGATCCCTGAAATTGGATTTATTTTAATAATAATAATTTAGACATATATTAGTTAAACTAATATAGTTGTATATAGATTATATTTGTATATTATTGTTGACTATAGAAGAGAGATACTTATGTGTTGCATTTATATCTTAGGAGAGCGAATTGAAGTGCGTGTTATAAGTTGCAAAGTAGAAACATAGAATGGTGATCTATATAATCAATTTCCATCTCCCACCCTATGAATTTGAGATAGGTTTATATGTGAACTTTGTAAAGTTGTGAAATGTCAAAATCCACGCCAAATAACCTAATTTATTAAGTAGATTTCAATTCCTCCGAATGAAAAAAAATCCAAACAACCCCTTAGAAATGTTGTATTGATAGCCAATATAATGGCGTGCTGTTAATGTATAACACAACGACTCATGTTAGCGTAGTGTCTTTGTAGGAATAAGTGCACCGTTGTTTAAAAAAGAAGAAAACAAAACAATCAAAGCATAAAAGATGTTGGTCGAGTAGAAATTAAAGAGTAATGATGTCATTTAATTGATTAATTTGTGTAATTTTGATGCAACAAGCAACTCCAGTCTGAGAAAGTTGAGCATATGCATATAACAGCAGGGAATCTTTCCGATTAAAATGTAGTGATTTATGCAAAATGCTAATTTGTATAAGTCCTGACTTATATGATAAGTGCTATACGATCAATCAAGGTATAATATATAAGCCCAAGAAAATATTGGCGCATGCTTGATTTAATGCTTAATCATGAACGACATTGTAATAATACTATAGCATAACAATCCATACTTAGCTTCATATATAGTATCAAATAAACTTCGAACAGAAAATTGTCAAGTACTAGAAGCATAAATGTCAACTTATGCTCAACTTATAAGATTTAGCAATTATATTTGCAATAACCACATTTATACCACTTATAAAAGAAGCATAAACTTCGATCATGCGTGTGTAGAACTGGAAATTACGGACATGCTACATTGTCTAAAAATATAAATACTACGTTACTTTAATTCGTCAGCAACTAGCAAGTAAATCAATTATCCCTTCACTAATTTAAGATTGAGTAATAAGCATGTATAACATTGTGAATCTTGGATCAAGCATGCACTCATTGACCTAGAAGCAGCAGAAGAAAGAAGTACTCGCTAGCAAGCTAGCTTCTCTGTTGCACGCACAGTTGAGAGATGTGTTGTTGCAACCATATGACCTCCAAAAAAATGTAAGTCCGGGATTCAATCAGCAAAGAGGCATAAAAAAAGCAGAGACATATCTTTCACAGTACGGCATTTATTTGCTTCCAGAACCGAAAGGAAGGAAAAGTTAGAAAAGAGTTGCATCGTTTCATGTCATCTTGACAAGGACACACTTGCTAATAATAGCGATGGAAGCCGAACAAATCAAAACAGCTTTCTCCCCATTACAAGTTTCATCACGGCAATTACGCATATATACATTATTTTTTCCTTCCATTCCATTTTGCACCAACAAAATTTCAACATCTGGAAGCCAAAATGAACTTGGAACAAGTCAAAAAGGACCCAGATTTATGTATGTACACATAGCCATCTTCATATCCCGAAACCAAGAAATGAAAACTCACAATTATGCAGCTTGCCAAATACTTATAATGCAAAACAGTAGCAGTGGCCAAGTACACTACCGGATACAGCAGCTAGTGATCGAGGAAGCTTTGTTGCTTCTCTTCCTCCATCTCTCTCCATTCTCCACACAAACTCTCTCGATCATGAGCACACACTAGCTGAATTATCAGAGAGCGCGAGAGAGATGGATTACGTACTAGTGCCGGCCGTACTTGTCCCCGGTGGCGAAGGAGGAGAAGAAACCATGGCTGCCGCCGCTGATGTTCCCCCTCTCGCCTTCCGCCGCCGGCGGCGCATCGAAATCATCGAATGGGTTGAACCCTCCCATGGTGATGCCGTGGTGGTAATGATGATCAGGAACCCCTGATCCGCCCGGCGACGTCGCCGCCGTAACTGCTGCGGCCGCGGCGGCGGCGCTTGGCATCGCGCTGCTCTTGGTGAAGAGCGCGAGCGCGTCCACGAGAGAGCTTGTGTTACTGGCAGTGGCGTTGGCTAGGGTGGTGGCGGTGGTGCAAGTGCTGGGACCGCCGGGAGGCAGCAGCACGGGGTACTTGAGAGGCGAGGGGCGCATGAGGAACGGCGGCGGGCCACCGAGGAGGCGCGGGCGGAAGGCGGGGGGCGGCGCGGGGGCGAAGGGCGGCGCCGGGAAGCCGGTGAACTCCTGCACCATGGCACGGAAGTTGGAGGTGTCGGTGGTGAGCACCGTGGTGGGCGGGCGTCGGGAGGCCCTCGGGCGTTTCTTGGCCGGCTTCGTGGCCGGCGCCGCCGGAGCGGGAGGGAGTGGCGGCACCGGTGGTGGAGGGGAAGGGGACGAGGACATGGCCGTGGAAGAGGATGTGGTGGGGAGGAGGCCATGGAAGGAGGAGTCGAGGTATAGGCTGGCCGGGGAGGAGGAGGAGGAAGACGGGAAGAAGAGGCTGTGGTGGTGGTGCTGGTGCTGGTGGGAGGAGGAGAACTCTTGGTCGGCGGCGCCGTCGAGCGCGGCGGTGGTGGGGATGGAGGGTGAGGAGGGGAGGCTGTCGCTGGTGGTGGACGCCATGGACGGATCGATGGCGCTGGATCGGGGGAGGGGAAGAAGGTGTGGAATAGTGGAAGCTCCTGATGAGAAAGCGAGGCACAGGCAGGGTTTGGTGTGTTGGAAGCTCTGTAGTGGGATGATATGGAGAGATCCTACAGGCTACAGTTAGTTGGGATCGGATGGTGATATGGGCTGATGAACAAGGGGAGGAAAGGAAGCTGCAGTAGCTATGGAGGAAGGCCATGCATCGCTTAATTCGTGTTGCCGGGCTTTAATGGATATTAATATTTATAATACATAATTGATATTATTAGATAAATCTTTGAATCTATTTTTATAATAAATTTATTTAAAGATATAAATGTTATATATATTTTCTATAAATTTAGTCAAACTTACTGTACGAAATTTAAAACGATAATTAATTTGGGACGGAAGGAGTAGTATTATTCGTTGCTTCATGAGATTTTTTGTTTTTTTGCAAGATGAGTTAATTAATTAACTCTCTCTCTCCCTATAGCTGCACAGCATCAGTGACAGTGACCGCAGTATAAGTACGACGAGCACATAGCAGCCAGCGGCCTCTGTAAAGTTAACGGATGTAGTGGGTGATTTTTTTTTTTTTTTGCGAAACCAGTCGGTGACTTTTCTAGCTACACGGTTTTCTCATCAAAGAAATTGTTTTTTTATAGTATATATATTTCTTTTTATTTAATTCCTGTACTTCTGTGTAGTCAACAAATATACGCGCACCCTTAATTTGTACGTGCTTTGTGCGCCTCAAATACTCGTAACAAGTTGGAGGCTAGCACGGTTCCAAATTGATTGCATGTTGTACTGCCAATATATTGATATCACCATTTATAAAAGTAGGTGGTCATATTTCAGATGGAGCAAAAAACATTAATACCTACTATATTTTTTTTTCAAAATATATCTCCCTTGATATATTAGTGTTTCTGGTAGGACGACATTATTAGGCTCTATCAACAATCATTTTATTAATTTTTTGGCACATTAAGTTAAATAATTAACGTGTTTTTATATTGGAAGTCCATCCACAAATTTATGATATATTGGGTAACCTTATAAATTGAGGCAAGTACTAGTTGGACTTCTTAAAAAAGGGAAAGAGCTATAGAAAACATTGCGTATATACAAATCAAACAAACTAAAATGGAAAAAATATTAAGGCTCCTCAATAATTAGTGAGAATGTTAATAAAATGGATAATACTGACACCACTGTATTCTAGATATCGTTGATATATAGAAGAAGTGTCAAAACGTAGTACTCCCTCAGTTTATTTTTAGTAGACACATATATGAGAGGATTTGTAAAAGGTCATTAGAGGTGTACTTTGACCACCAATTAATATCTCTTACAGTATATACTTCTCCATCACAAGTCCATCTAGGTTTTTTCTTAGTAAAACTTTTTTAAAACTTTGACCATCAATATCTAAATTTTACTAACATTAATAGAATAGTTATGAAAACTTTTTATAGTATATAACTCTTTTCAGTTAGGATGATTCTATGTATTCATATATATTTGTTATTAATAGTTGATTTTAGTGAATGACTATTAGAACAAACCTAGATAGACTTATATTTATGGTTGGAGGAAGTATCATCAATTGCTACAAAATCTATATCATATTTAGAAAATTATAAAAACATGACTCTTTAGGAGTTGAACTTTGGATATGAATATATGTTCACATTTTAAGACAAGTTCCCCTTCCCTTTATTATTCTCTCTTAATTGGGGAAAAAATTGAATGCTGGGGATGTATAACCTGGCAAACTAGCTCATGTTTAGGTGCGTGCAAACATATAGGAGTAGTGTATAGTACATACATGCATGTACAATATGCACATGATATGTAAAAACCTTGAGTTTGCCATTCCAGATCGATCAGATAATAAGGATCTTATTAACAGCTGACGGTGTGCATCATCAGCTCGATCGTCGATCTAAGCTAGGTCGAGCAATCGAGCTACAAGCTTAGCTTGTACATCACTCTTATTGGAAATGCATGTACACGTGTCCAGCATATATTGGGTGTGTGTAGGTTGTGCTCGTTGGCCTGGCTCCAACAAATACTAGTTATTAGATGCACGTTTTTTTTAAAGGGTAGTTTAGATGCACGTTGGATCCGGTGGGCAAGCCCCTGATGGGAGTTTAATCATCATATTCTCACCTATAATAGCTCCTTTGGGCCTTATAAGCCGGTTTAGCTAGGTTAGTTCAACCACGTACGTACTCCTACTGTCCTACACGCGTTGGTTGCACCTACGATCGAAATGCATGCATTAGCGTAGCATGGGCAGCATCGGAAATGGAGTACTATTGCTAGCTAGCATAGCATGCATGCAGATTACATGCCCAGGCCATGCATCCATACGATATGATGGATATATATGGCAGTTTATAAAATTCTTCAAATGTGACTCTTAGAAACATAGTATTCAAAAAAGATTTTTGTACTATTGAATTTATTAGGAAAATAGAAAGAAAAAACACCTAAGCATGAAAATAATGGAAGGTGGGTGTCATTTATCAGAGATAATCTGAATTTTATTTACTAAATTTGTCATGTGAAATTTTATTTCCCTTAGAAATCATACACAATGGCAGCAAGCCAGCAATTATACAATCATAACCACGGCAGGAGCAGGTTATAAAGATGTTGTCGGGTTTCATTCAGACAAATAGAGGTTCTAATATGCAGTGCACAGTCAGTCTAGTTAACAGGTTGATATCTACAGATTTCTAATTCCGACAAGTTGATATCAAATGAACACACAAAGAATTAATTTGACAAGGAAATATGAAGTGGACAAAGAGGATGCTGAGGAGCAGAGGGCACACACAATCTTGGAAGTTCCTCACCTTAGAATGAAATTGTGCTGCACTAAGGAAAGAGAATCAGATAAAAAAAGTTATAAACATTGACCTTAATTGTACATAGTAGTTCATCACATGCCATCTGCATACAACATTTCACTCTGGCAAGTTTAAATGTTCAATCAAGTTTAGAGTTCAGAAACTAATTCAATTAGAGTAAAGGTAAGTAACAGGAAGTTCCAACAAATCCTTACCAGCGTCTATGTTTTCATTTTCCTATTTACTGTGTTGGGATCTTTGTTGAGCTTCTGCAACAAAATTAATTTATGCTTGTTCATAAAAAATTGCAAGAACTTGATCTAATTAGCAACAACAGCAATACGTGTTGGTTGTTTCATTCACAGTAATGAAAATTTAAGATGGTTAAGCAAAAAATGACCTGTATGGTAGGTCCTAGGATGCATCCCCTTTGTGTCCTGATTCTTCAAAGTCGTGGGATCATTTGTAGTGCTTACAAGAATTTGTCAGCATATCTGGACCATAAGGAAAAGGGGATTAACATGCATGCAAAAACCTCTAGTAAAATTAACAGAATAATTTATCAATATTGATCAGCAAATAATAATTTTTACACAAGAATACAATAAAAAGCATAGGTGAATGTACGTCACAACAATCATAGATGAAATGAGGATAAAATTTTATGGTTACGAAGATGCAAACAAAGATGCTGCCATGATGCACTCGGTGGTATCCATTGCCCTTTTATTCCTAACTTGTATTTTTCTGATTCAACTATAAAAAAAGAATTATCTTTAACACAAGGAGTATTTACACTATTTAAGAAATAACATAATCTGAAACATTAGCTAAAGAACACAAGAATGCAATATAGCTCTAGAAAATCAGTAACATTAGCATGCATATAAAAATTGGTGGGTTCAACTAGAAAATTAAGCAAACAGTTGATAAAATCACACACACATCATTTTTTTCAGGTAGTACTCAACGTGTAATATAGTGTCTCAATCTAGTCGTGCAGGCTATTTAGGGTCCGCCACATAACCAGCATAACAATGGTGGCCAACTTGCTACAAGTATTGTGCTATTGTGACCTATACATGTTTACTGAAAAAAGTAAGCATGTGCATATGCATCGCATTGGCAACTTATGTGGATTTTTATCCAACAAGCCACTAGGTAAAAAGCTAGTTGATTAATATGGGAGTCCAAAGACATGTTTTCTAGTAAATTGCCTTGTTGTGTGGCAAGTAGGGTTACTAGCGTTGATTATTGCAGTTATGAATCCTAAATCATCATGTAATACATAGTTCTAGAACCTTGGTGGCTTTGATTTTGCCTTGTTTACAAAGTCAAAAACTTGCACACTCTTATATGGAGACAGCTTGATGGCACTTGACCTTGCAAACCAAAAAGAGGAGGGCAGGAAGGGAGGGAGGGAGGGAGGGAGGAGAGAGAGAGAGAAGGCACCTACAACATACGACTATCTATAGATATAGTACTACAATCTTAAAATGTACTATATATAGATACTACTACAATCTTAAAATGTACTTCTGAAAAGAGTATGTATGGTATATACAATTTTGAGGAGTATTTGTACATCTTACAAGGGAGTAAAAGTATATACTCCCTTTGCTGTGCACATATATACTCACTTCTAATTTCATAAGACTGGTGGTTGGTCCATTTACATAAGCAAAGCATTCTCTAGTTGATTGCAGTAACTCTATCTATAATGTAGATGCAAACTGATATGCAATTCTGCGGCATCTACAGGCTGACAAAAGTTATCTAAACTGAACATATATGCACTCACTACAAGATAGCTTCAGCTATAAACTCTGAACTTGCTATTTCACTGTGCCATACTCATCCCTCGTATATTTGAGCCCTTCGTGAACATCATGATTCCAAACCAATCAGAAAAAAATTTGTCAAGTTATAATGTAATATGAAAAATATCAAATGATACTATGATCAAGAAAGGCATGCAAACATACACTTATCTGAAAAGGTATCTAAGCATACTCATATTTGAAAAATAGCATCTAAGCATACACTTAATTCTTGATCATTGATTCTAATAAAAAATACGAAAGCCAGAACACGGCAGTAGTTCCATGGTCTACAATCTAGAAAACTAAG